AAATTTTTTTTTTCCAACGTTTATTTATTTTTGGGACAGAGAGAGACAGAGCATGAACGGGGGAGGGGCAGAGAGAGAGGGAGACACAGAATCAGAAACAGGCTCCAGGCTCTGAGCCATCAGCCCAGAGCCCGACACGGGGCTCGAACTCACGGACCGCGAGATCGTGACCTGGCTGAAGTCAGACGCTTAACCGACTGCGCCACCCAGGCGCCCCTCATTTATTTTTTAAAGTAATCTCTACACCCAATGTGGGGCTCAAACTCATGACCCCAAGATCAAGACTCAAACACACTACTGACTGAACCAGCCAGGCACCCCCCTAGGGTATGGCTGCTCCATACCACATTGCTTTTCATTTAGAGTTTTCCTGGCTTTTCTTGTTTACTTATTTTTCTAGACAAGCTTGTGAAAAATATGTTAAAATGATAAATTTACTTATGGAAAGTTGTATGTCTCCGATGGTGATTCTTCTTTTTCATGAGGCATGTATGTCAGTTTGCTCAGATATACTTTTATGTCCTCTTCTGGAAAGTTGTACTTATAAACATTTTCAACCATACACAAAACCAAAGAGTTTAGTACAATAAACTCCCATACACTCATCGTACAGATTAAATAGTGTTATGAGCTGAATTGTATTCTCTCATAATTTATATTTTAAAGCCCCAACCCCTGGGCCCTCAGAATGTGTCTATATTTGGAGATAGGGCCTTTAAAGAGATAGTGAAGTTAAGTGGGGTCTATGGGTGGGCCCTAATCCAATCAGACTGGTGTCCTTATAAGTAAAGGAAATTTGTCCATACAGATACCAGAGATGTACATGCACTGAAGAAAGAGCACATGAGGACATATGGAGAGGGCAGCCATCTGCAAGCCAAAGAGACAGGCCTCAGAAGAAATCAAACTTCCTGAAACCTTGATCTTGGATTTCTAGCCTCAAGAACTATAAGAAATAAATTTCCTTTGTTTATGCACATAGTTTGGGGTATTTTGTTATGGCAGTCCTAGAAAACTACTACAAATAGTATTAAGATTTTGCCATTTTTTCTCTCTTTCTTTTTCTCTCTACCTCCCAGGAATTATTTTAAAGCAAATCCCAGACATCATGTCATTTCACTCCCTTCATACACTTACTATTCATCTCTTAAAGATATGGGCATTTTGGGGCGCCTGGGTGGCTCAGTCGGTTGAGAGTCCAACTTCGGCTCAGGGCATGATCTCACGGTTGGTGAGTTCGAGCCCTGCTTCAGGCTCTGTGCTGTCAGTGCAGAGCCCGCTCTGGATCCTCTGTGCCCCTCTCTCTCTGCACCTTCTCCACTCATGCCCTTTCTCAAAAATAAATAAACGTTCAAAAAATACATGGGCATTTTTTTTGTATAACCCCAAGACCATAATCACAACTAAAAAAATTCTTGTTATCATGTTATACACAGTCCATATTCAAATTTCCCTAATTGTTTTTTTTTAACAGTTGGTTGTTTGAATCAGGATCCAAACAAGTTCCATATGTTGCATTTACTTGTTATATCTATTAATTTTCTTTTAACCTATAGCAGTACCCTTCCTCCCGTGCCTTTGATGTAATGCCTTTGATTAAAGCAACTTGGCCAATTGTCCTACAGAGCGTTCCACATTCTGGATTCGTCTGCCTGCCTCATTGCGTTGTCATTGTATTTGTTATCCTGCTCCTCATATTTCTCGTAAATGGAAGATAGCTATAAATGCTTGATGAGATTCACATTCAACTTTTTTGGTAAGGAGACTTCATAGTTGATGCTTTGTGCTTCATATTCCATCACATCAAGAGGCTTATGTCTGGTCGTGTCTAGTGAGACGAGGATTGATTAATGGGTTTAGGTTATGCACATCAAAGTATTTGAAAGTATTCCTCATATAGGCTTTGTGCATTTCTTACACATGCACTCCTAGGTATTTACACTGTGTGGCTGCTTTTTTCAATGGGAGGGGGTTCTTC